TGATCAAGAAGATGGGCTGCCACCACCTAGACCTTTAAATAACTGTGAGTATGACTCGGGCCTTCAGGCTTGCAGCAGTGGTGTAAACTCCCAAGTGAATCTGTCAGAGCAGCCAGCACATAACGGACAGCGACATAATATGACCAGCTATGCGAATGCTTTCCCACCTTCGATCTTGCCAGTGGATGCATCAGTACCAGATACACAGCCCTTACATCCCACCAGCTCCTCGGCTGGCCTGGAGCCAGTATCTGAACCTCTACATGGGTGTCCAACGCAACATATCAGTCCTGCTATGGATACTCCCTCAGCTGGTCATCAGTATGGTCAGCAGCTAGGTGGAAATCACCCCCTATTACCTGAGGGAGCTATCATCCCAGCATCCCAGAGATAACTGTCTAACAAGAAGACTTGGCTGTTCTCCACTCACACTGGCTGAAATGGTGAAAATGCTGTTATCATAGGATGAAGTGAGGATTTGTCCCTCATTAACAATCTCCCTGTTAATGCCCCTTAACAGGGAGAGGGGGGCACAAAAAATACTTTTCTTTCTTATTCTCATTTAAAATATAAATTATCTAAATCTTGCGAACAAAGTTTTTATCTGACGTAAAATGTATAGAAATCATACATATACCAACAAGACAGTGTACATCACTGTCACAACAGCATTTGTTTTCATTCAAAGGCTTTTTGGCTTTAATACCTGGTGGGCCTGTCTCTAGTCAAAATGCCCAATTTTTTTGTCCCAGTCCAGCTCTGCAGGTTAATACTGGCAATGTCACCATGCCAGCTGACTGTATGTCATCATCAGCCAGTGTTGTTCTTTATACATCAATATTACCAAAGTTTACCATAAGGCAGTCTTGTTGGTCTTATATGGTCTTATTGAATAAAACAGGATGTTCACCAATAAAGGTCCCAGCATTATGCTTTAGCTTGAGGCCATCTTGGAACTGTTAAGGTGCTACTGTTCTTAGTATTTACTGCAAGTAAATACTAAGAAAGTATTTACTTGCTTTCAGGTTTTATTCAAATGTTAGTCTTTTCAGTTGTTTCCCCACTTTTTTCCTGTTTCAAAATCAAACACCAGTTTGTAAGAAGA